TTTTTCATATTATTCTGTTATTTTATTTGAAGACCAGCACCCAAAATATGAGTTCTTCAGGCAGCTTCCTCAGGCTCCCCTCTTACCTGCGTTTTGCATCTAAGTGCAATATTTTGTTATTTAATATCCCTTTTATAGAACTGCTGTGTAGTGGTTTTATATTCTGTTTCCATGGGGTGTGTTAATTCTGTCTTTTACCATTTACTGAATTCGTGTTTGTGTCTTTTCATGTTGTTGTGCCGTTCTGAATTGTGGATATTTGGTGTCTCTCCTTCTCCTTCCCAGCTGGAAGTGCCCCAGGTGTCCTCAATACCTTGAGTGAGGTTGGTAATGGGAGGATTGAGCCCAGAATCACAGGATGGGTTGGGTTGGAAGGGACCAGGGTCAGGCTGGAATGGTTCCTCTGGTGCCACCTCCCTGCTCCAGCATAGCACAGAGCACAGGATTGTGTCCAGAGAGTTCTGGAATATCCCCAGTGAGGAGACTCCACAGCCTGTCTGGACAATCTGTTCAGTGCTCTGTCCCTGCACAGGACATTTCTTCCTCCTGTCCAGGTGAACTCACTGGGATCAGTCCCTGCCCGTTCCTCTGGTGCCATTGCTGGTCCCAGAGCAGAGCCTGGGCCCTGCTCTGACCCTCCTGCTCACAGGGACACCCAGGGCTGAGGGCTCCTCTCAGCTGTGCCTCCTCTGGAGGCTGAACAGCCCCAGCTCCCTCAGCCTTTCCTCACCAGGGAGATGCTCCAGGCCCTCCATCATCCTTGCTGCTGGGCCTGCTCCAGGAGCTCCGTGTCCTTCCTGTCCTGAGGAGCCCAGAGCTGGACACAGCAGCCCAGATGTGCCTCACAGGGCTGAGCAGAGGGGCAGGATCACTCCCTGACCTGCTGGAAATGCTCTTCCTGGTGAACTCCTGGATCACTTTGGCTTCTTTGCCCTCCAGGCACTGCCGGTCAAGGACACTTTCCACTATCCCAGCTTGCTCCAAGACCCATCCAGCCTGGCCTTGGACACTTCCAGGGATCCAGGGGCAGACACAGCTTCTCTGGGAAACCTGTGCCAGGGCCTCCCCACCCTCACAGCCAGGAATTCCCTCCCAATATCCCATCCATCCCTGCCCTCTGGCAGTGTGCAGCCATTCCCTGTGTCCTGTCCCTCAATGCCTTGTCCCAAGTCCTTCTCCAGCTCTCCTTTAAATTCCCTTCAGGTACTGGGAGCCCACAATTAGGTCACCCCAAAGCTTCTCTTCTCCAGGCAGAGCAAGCCAAATTCCCCCAGCCTTTCCTCACAGAGAGGATCAGGATAGATTTCCCACTGCTCTTTCTCCATCCACCCTCCCATCTGGCTGGCAGCTGGGTTACAGCTCCCCAGCTCAGCTTTTCCCACTGCTTTGCCTCTGTGCCTTAGGAATTATGTTACAGTTCCCTGTTTGCTTTGGGAACTCTGTGCAAGACAGTTTTTAAAAGATTTTTTTGGTCTTTTTTTCATAGACAAAGCAAACAAACATTTTATCTATGTCTGTTCCTCTCTAAGACACTTTCAGTCTGTCAGCAAAGTTACCTTGGTACAGTGGAGCTTTAGCCTGGCAAATATCTAAATTTATAATTAGCTTGGTGATTTATTTTTAATAGTTCATATTCAGGTCCTATTAAACTGGCTGCTCTGGCTGCCCCACTTCCTCCTTTAAACAAGGGTATTGAACTGGTCCTTTTATACTTTTCTGAGGCCATATCCCACTGCCAGGAATCCTTACGGGGTTTGTTCTGCCCAGACTTTATTGCCAGTTCTCTGCACTTTCAGGTCACATTCATCAGGCTCGACTGATGTGAAAACAAATAAATACTGCCCAGACCTTCACCTTGTGGCAGAGAGATATTTTCCTGTTCAAAAGCTTCACTTAATGCTTTTCTTCCAGGAGGAAATCCTTGGAGATCAGAATCAACCATAAATAGCCCTCTTTCTGTGTTCCTAGAGTCACATAGGATCACAGAATCATGGAATTAAGGTTGGAAAAGGTCTTCAGGATCACTGAGACCAACCTGTGACTGATCCCCACTTTGTCACCAGCCCAGAGCACTGAGTGCCACGTCCAGACCTTTCTTGGACACCTGCAGGGATGGGGACTCCAAACCCCCCTGGGCAGCTCCTTCCAATGTCTGACCACCCTTGCAGGGAAGAAATTCTTCCTGATGTCCAACCTGACCCTCCCCTGGCACAGCTTGAGGCTGTTCCCTCTCATCCTGTCTCTTTTCCCTGGGAGCAGAGCCTGACCCCCCTGGCTGTCCCCTCCTGTCAGGAGTTGTGCAGAGCCACAAGGTCCCACCTGAGCCTCCTTTTCTCCAGGCTGAGCCCCTTCCCAGCTCCCTCAGCCCCTCCTGGTGCTCCAGCCCCTTCCCCAGCTCTGTGTCACCTCATCTCCTTTCCAGTGCTCACAGGTCACTCACCAGCATCCTCACAGAATCCCTCAGATTGGAAAAAGGTTCCAAATCCAACCATCCCCCAGCACTGCCAAGGCCACCACTGCCCCATGTCCCCAAGTGCCACATCCACATGGCTTTTAAATCTCTCCAGGGATGGGGGCTCCAACAGTGCCCTGGGCAGCTGTTCCAATGTTTGATCACCCTTTCAGTGAAGGCATTTTCCCCAATTTCCAAAATAAACTTCCTCTGGCACAACTTGAGGCCATTTCCTCCTCCTCTGAGGGAATTGTAGGAAGTCTCCTCATCCCCTGCCACCACCACCCAGGAATTCTCTGTAATGGCCACTGTTTCAGGTCATCTGGACCTGAACTAAAATAATTTATCCCTCCTTTATCCTTCTACCTGTATTCCCTGATCCAAGTGCCCTTCCTGGCAGTAGCATTGCCATGAATTATACATCTAAGATCTCTTTTGCATCAATGTAATTTTACTGTCACCGGTGTGTCATGTGTTTGGGGATGGTCACTTGTGTGACCCATTTCACACCAGCTGGATTCTGCTCTTGTTTTAATTTTGGAGAGGTTTAAGTCTCCTGGCTGAGAGCTGAGTGTTGTATTTGATCGCTCCAATAGGGAGCAGCATTCCCCACGTTTGGAGCAGCTTCACTGTGGCATTAAGACATCACTGGAGGTGGAAAATGTGAAGTAATTTCTGTTAAAGGATGCCTTGAGGTTGAGATTTTTCTCTTGTTTGGTTTTGAAACTTAATATTCGGCTGCATCAGAGCACTTCTGCCTCCAGAGCTCTCACTCCCTGCTGGCAAAAAATCTCAACTGAGAACACAAAGGAGGTCGTACTTGATTTAATTATTATTTAATATTTGCTTAACGGGAAGCTTGAGGTCAAGGTCCAAATTATCCAACACAGTTCTTTCAAATTAGGAGTTTATAAAACAATTAAGTCCACGAATATGCATAGGGGCAGTGAAATTAGGCAGAGAAAAGGTTCCATCCGGGGGCAATGTGTGTTTCCCAATTACATTCCTGACTAAAAGCTGGTGTCACAGGAAAGAAAAATGCATGAATGTTTGAATATATATTTTCTCCTATGCGTGATTCCAGCCCACTAAGAAAATAGCCTAAAATCTTGTTTCCAGTGTGCTTGGAGGGGGGGGTTGAGATGTAGCTCTGCTCTGGAAAATAAAGGGATAAAGATGCCTGGTGGGCATTCAATTCGGGGTTCTTCCTTGGAAAGAGCTGTTTCCCGAGGGCCAGCCCCACAAGGATCACCCAGGGCTCGGAGTCTGAGCAGGGAATTTTCCTCCCAGCACCTCCTTACAGATTTCTTTCAGCTCCAGGGTCCCTTCAGGCTTTGGGGAATTCCTTTGGTGCCGCTCCCAGGATGAGTTGGGGTCATAGGAAAAGATCCAGCTGGGATGAGCAGAGTTGGCAACACGGG